CAAAAGGACAGCAACTTGTCTGTTCCCCTTCCCCTAATTCCCCAGCGCTGTTCCCATCCCCCAATTCCCCAATTAAAATCTTTAAAAAAAAAAAAAGAAAATATTTCTTCCCTTTTAGATGTGTATGATTGTTCAAGAAAGCAGGAATAGGTACCAGGTCTAGTTCACAGACACCTGTCTGGCCTTGACACCAAGTAAAATGCTTCAATTTTTTTCTGGGAGAATTTACTATTTGTTTTGCTGCTGCTGTTTGTAAAATACCTGCAAGTTTCTGGAAAGGAGGGCGCAGTAGGAAGGTGAATAATTACCTATTCAAGTGCCCAGACATAACTTACAGGTGGGTCTTTCAGAATACTCAGAGAATTTGCTTTGACTGGCCTGATGTTTGCCCACATGTGGCTGGAGCCAGCACCTGCTGCTGGGTAATGAGGTTACTGTCAATATCCAGGGTGCCCACTGCTTCCGCAGGCCCAGGAAACCGATGGAGACACATGGGTTGGCTCAGGGGTCACCTGATCCTGCCCAGCTCCATCTAGAGCTCCTTTCAGCCAGGTGCAGGCTGGGGAAACCCTTCTGTGGCCCTGAGAAGGATGGGATAGAAGCAGAAGTGGGATTCCTTCCTATGAGCCCATCCTGTGGTCCCATCGCTAGGAACCACCCCTTGGGGGTCCCTTCTGGTTTCTGGTGAAGAAATATCTTGGGAACTCCTAGGGAAATCTCAGGCTGCTGGAGTCTCGCCTGCTTTCCAGGCACAGGGCCAGGAGCTGGGCAGATGAGGCTAGCCAGCGTCCATACTGCCTGGGCTGAAGCTGATTTAAGCAAGATCTTGCCTCATGGGCAAGATGGCGGCTACAGGACAAGGGTGATTGGTAGAGATAGGCTGTTTCCAGCTTTGTCCTCTACTTGTTCCTTTGTTTGTTCAATCATTTATTTATTCAATTTGCAAATCATTTGCACACCTATGGCATGAGGGCATTATCTAAGCACACATAGTTAAGAGCTTGGAAATCATTAATTCATTAATCAAATATGCATTAAGCACCTACTGCTACTGGGCCAAGCACATTTGGTAGAACATCTACAAACCATTAAATAGGCAGTTCAATAATCAAGCAATTATTTCTTAAGCACCATCTAGGTGCCTAACATAGAACAAGCACTCATAAAATGTTTGTGGAATGAAGGAATGAATAAATGAATGAATGTTTAATATAGGAGGGATGTAAGGATGGCTCAGATGAAGTCCTGACCTTTCCCCAGGCCCCCAAATTCTCTTCCCATCCCAGTCTAGCACGGCCACCCAGGCAGGCCAGCAGCTTCACAGTGGGGGAGGCTCAAGGAAGCCAGGGTAGATGCTCCCAGACCTTGTGAAGGTTCACAGTGTCTCTGATGGGATGAGTGACCGGGTGACCAAACTGGTGGGGTTGAACCCTGAGCAAAGCCCCCAGAGGCTGCTCAACCAGGTGGACCAGCTGCCATCGGAAAGCTAGATGCTGGGACACAGGGGAATAAGAGACCTTGGAATTGGTGGACTCCCCGTCCTCTTTTTTCATTTGTATCTGCCCTTTCCAGCTCCATAAATGCTTACCAAACATCAAGTCTGTGTGAGGCACCCTACTAGGTACTGCCGGCCAGACACAGAGAAGCAGCCTCACTAGGATCAGAGGGACCTAAACATCTCGCTACACAAGACAGGACAGAGAAATGAAATGATAGAGGTACACAAAGCTCAGCTGGATCAAGGGAAGGCAGCTTTTCGGGGGGTACTAACACACACTGGGGTGCACCGTGATTACAAAGAGGAGGAGACTGAAGTCTGGAGCCCATGGGCCTGTGGTTGAATTCCAGCTTCTCCAGTCCCTCCCGCAGTAACCTCAGGCAAGTCCCTTAGTCTCACTGCCTCAGTTTCCTCATATGTAAAACGGGCCCAAAGTAACAACACCTCCCAGGGTTGCTGTGAGGAGGAAATGAGATTACATCTGTAAAGAAGAGGTGCGGTATTTGGTCCATGGAAAGTATTAAGTAAACGGAAGCCATTACGGCTCTTTTGTTCGAACTAAGGATAGTGGATGGTGCCAGCCTGTGTGTCTCACCAGCTCACATCCTAACAACAACAGTACCGGAGCTAAAGTTAAAGAAATCCTAGTAGGCACCAGGTACATGCTATACATTATTTTTAATCCTCAGAGCCATCTTCAAACTGGGTACCATTTTCCTCATTTAAAGAAGGGAAGGCACAGGCTCTGGGAAATTAAGTGACTTATCCAAGGTCATACAGATGATAAGTTGCTAGGCCAGGATCATGTCCTTTTAACTCCACAACCTTCACACCCCCCATACCACCCACCTGTCATGTCTCAGGCTATCTCTGCAACCCGAGGCCACCAGACCTAGCTCTGTCCTTGGCCTTGGGAGGTTAGCTGGGATTGAGCAGGGAAGCCCCCTTGCATAAGCGGACACAGCCGAGGGCAGGAGTGAGTCAAGCCCACAATAAGACACAGAAGCACCTACTTGTCTGGTACTGCTGCACACCCAGTGCTACGAAGCAGGCTACCAGTCCTGCTGCGAGAAGTGCCACCAGTATCATCAGCCGCTTCTCCACGGTGGTTCGCGTGGCCCAGCATCTCTGGCCACTCCTGGGGCTGCGGAAGTTCACCTGCAGGGAAGGAGGCAAGAGGGGTGGGGGGGATGTGAGCCCCGGGCTCCATGTCCCCAGGAGAAAGGGGCTCCGAGCCAGGCCCCGGGGAGGCATCAGGGCCACCTTCTGCCTCAGGGGTGGTCCGGTTCCCACGGACTCGGTCCTAATCCAGGAAGGGAACCACCACCCTGCTCAGCAACTCAGATTTGCTCCTAAACTTCAGAGAGTTAAGCAGCTCAACCCAGCCAAGCTTGTGTTTTTTTGTGTCACCTGATATGAGTAGAAGGAAAAAACAACAACAAAAAAAACAACCGAGCTTTTCCCTGTTTCTCCAGTAAGGAGTGCAAAAAAAGAACAGGATGTTTGGCCTTGCAGGCATCCAGTGAATGTCCAGCTGGGCTCTCCTCAAAGCCACAGCATCAATAGGCTAGGGTGACACAACCACAAGAATGACACCATCACAGCTCACACTTCCCAGGAGCGCGGACATTCTTAGCTCATTAAACACCCACAACCCCAAGAGGGCAATTATTAGTTCTCTTTTATAATACAAATGAGGACATAAAAGTCCAGAGAGTGAAGACCCTGACTTCTCACATAGCTGAATGGGTGGGACTGGAACTTGAACCCAAGTCTGTCGATTTATGAGCCACTAGTGGGTCAGAGATTTGAGTCTTGGGAGATGTCAGGGTGGATGCAATGGAGAAATAGCTCCATTCAGGCAGGTCCTCAAAGGGAGGGAAAATGCTACCAGCCTCACAGTCTAGCTAAACAGGAAGGGAGGCACAATGAGAGGAAGTGAAGGGCGTGGCAGGGCCCTCTGGGCTGAGGAGGGACAAGCCAGTCAATAGCATTCAGAGCCCTCAGCCCAGGCCAGCTTGGGGCTCCCCTCTGTTCCAAGAGGTACTTCCTGCAAAAGTCAGGGTCACAGGACAGGAGGGTGTCCCCCGAAAGGGGAAGGATGGATTCAGTCACATTGTGGCTGTGTGTCAACAGCTGAGCACCAACTCAGGGCCACGTTGGAAATACTGAGAGACAGGGAGACTCCCTCTTTTTCAGCTGCTTACAGCCCAGCAGGGAGGCAGATAAACACACAGACTGGGGTGGGCAGGGGTTCAGTCAGGGAAGGCTTCCTGGAGGAAGATACCTGGGCTGGGTCTTGAAGAATAAGTAGGAGCTAGCCAGATGAATGGGGAAGGAAGGGGGTGGCAAGGTCTAGATCGTAAGGGGCCTCTATAAGCCAGTTTAAAGAATGTGGACTTTTTCCTGCACACTGGAGTAACATGATTAGATGCACCCTTTGGAAAGGCCAAGGTAGACGGAGCAAGGCTTGGAGGCAGGGAGACCCGCAGCCTGCCAGGGGGTGAGAAGGGAGAAGAGGTGCCAGGGAAGATGAAGAGACCCAGCCCCTGCCCTGCAAATGCCCCACCCACAGCTGAGGGGGTGGTTTTTCCCAGGAGCCAGGTCACCAAAGAGCTTCACACTGGGATCTAAGGCTAGTCATCCTGGGGAAGAAAGGGCACCGGGTCATCTCATGGTCATCATTGGCTATTTTCTGGGCAAGAGATGGCCAGGAATTACTGCACCAGAGAAAGGGGAACACAAAAATTTTTCATGGAGGAAAAACAGGGTTCTAAAACTGAGAAAAGGAACTTGGGGCCTCGTCATATTTTCCGTGGAGGTCCAAGAGGCTCAGAAACTGAAGCAGCTATATCAGGTAGGGTGTGGGGTGCCACTTCCTGAAATCCCTTAAGAACCTTTTTCAAAATGAAACAGAAACTCTGACCATGCTATTGCCATTAAGTTAACGCTGTGGGCTGGGAGGGCCTGGTACAGGGACAGGGCCTGGAATGATGCTAACATGCTCACAGCACTGCAAGGTCTGTAAGATGCGTTTTCCAAGGCGTCAATTTTCTCACGCAGTTTACCTTCAGCACTGGTATTCAGAGGAGTCCCAAAGGATAGGAAGCAGGTGCTGCCTTGTCTGGGGGGCTTTTTTTTTTAATTGGGGAAATGGGGAAGGGGAACAGCCAAGTTGTTGTCCTTCAATCTTAGTTGTGGAGGGCGCAACTAGCTCAGCTCCAAGTCCAGTCGCCATCCGGCCGCCCGTCAGCAGCTCAGAGCAGCTCAGCTCAGCTCAGCTCAAGGTGCCGTGTTCAATCTTAGTTGCAGGTGGGCATAGCCCACCATCCCATGCGGGAGTCAAACCGGCAGCCTTGTTGTTAGGAGCATGTGCTCTCACCAGCTGAGCCATCCTGCCACCTGTTGGCAGCTCAGCGGCAGCTCAGCTCAGGCGCAGCTCACTGGCCCATGTGGGGATTGAACCAGAGACCCTGTTGCTCAGAGCTTGCGCTCTTAACCAACTGAGCCACTCGGCCATTTATTCTCATTCTTCTTGCTGTCCTGGCCCTGGATTTGTCTCAATTTCTTTCTCTTCCTCTAAGCCTCTCAGTGCCCCCATTATCATAGCTTAGCTCTTGGGGGAGGAGGGTGAAGGTAAGGAGGTAGGGAGACCTCTGCCTGGTGCTGGCTCTAGGGAGCCAGGGAGCACAGCTTTCAGGCTTGGGGAAGTGGAAAAACCTTACCTAATGTGGCCAGAGCAGTACCGAGGTGTGGGGAATCTGAGGACATGAAAACGAAAGAAGAAGTGAAAGGAAGGGAGGCAATGACAGGAACGGAGGGAAGGAGGAAAGGAAAGGAAAAAAGTAATAATGGTAGCTAATAATTGAGTGCTTTCTGTGTGTGCCTGGTGTTGTGTTAATTCTATGTTGCTGCTAGAGGATGCTATTCATGCTATCTTCACACATCCCTAAGAGGAGGTACTAGCAGGAGCTCCCGAAAAAAAAACACAGGAAGTGGCGGGGAGAGGGAGAGAGAACAATAAGAAAACCCATCTCTCTCCACAGCCCTCAGCCTCCTACGAATGGCCATGCTGCCCCAGGAGCCAAGTTGAGCTGAGCCTCACTGTTTGATGTCAAGCAAACAGATGGTGTTCACTGCAAAATTTAATTAGAAGCAAGTCAGAATTAAATTAGAAATTCATAGTTCTAGGCAGAAAAGGCAAATGGAATTTGAAAATAAGGTTTTTACCTTTACAATGTTCTTGCTTAACTCATATGCCCAGCTGGGGCCTCTGGGTGGGAAAGGAATCCAGAGGCATCCCCCTGGGGCAGGAGAAGTCACCTGGCGGCATTGAGCCGGGACCAAGAGACCTCTCCAGGAGAGGCCGTCCAATTCCCGGGTGTAACGGACGGGGCTGGGGCTGCAAATGCAAGCTGCTCTTCGAGCCCCAGCACCCTGCCCTGCCTCCTTCAGAGGACCTAGCACGACAGGTCACAGCAAGAGGTGGATGCAGATGGTTTCTCATGTTCCTTTTGGAAATGAAGGCATGTCTGCAGTGATTGGTAGGGTAGGAGGATTAGTGGGGGGCATCCCACTCTATTTCAGGAGAGGTAACTGAGATGTGACCATAGGCCAGGGAGCAGAGCTGATGCTTGGGAGATGGAGTTGAGAATTACTGTAAATGCTCAGCTCCTGGGTGGGCTTAATATTCTATTTATTGTTGTGTGAGGAAGAGGGAGAATGAGACAGAAAGAAAACGATGACCTCGAAAGAGAGAGGTGGGGAGGGAGACAGACAAGGAGAGAGACAGACAGAGCCAGAGAAATGGAGCGAGACAATGGGACAAACAGTCGAGCTGTCCAGCCCGAGTTCCCAGGGTTTCCACAGCCAAGGGAACAAAGCCCTAATGAGGGATAAATATTCGGTTACAGAAGTGAGTGCTTGGCTCACCTAGGCTTACAACAAGAACGAGTTCTGCAGGAGAGGACAGGTCACCACTGCCTGGGGCCCAGGAGACAAGCCAGCAGCACAGGGGGCGGGGAGGAGGCAAAGCCTGGTTATTTTAGATGAGGCAGGGGGTCGGGAGGGAGGGCAGAGGCTCTTCCTGGGCCGTTGCCAGGTTCCCCAGCAACCTGAGCTTCGTGGAGCAGCAAACAGGAGTCAGTCTGGCCAAGGGTTTGGCAGGGAGCCCACCCCTGGCAGTCAAAAAGCCTGGCCACCTCAGGAGGACTGGAAGGGTGACCAGGCTGCCTGCCTTGGAGTCAGCCTTTCAGAGCAGACAGACCATGACAGCTTGGCCCTGCGTGGCACCCTGCCTCCGTGAGGGTGTTAGGTTGGGGAAGTTTCTTCTAGAAGTTTCCATCTGGCAGACTTCTAGCTGAGGCCACTATAATGTCCTCTTGTCCTCCCCATCTTTTCCCTGAGCCCTACCTGCTCCACTGTCCCCGTGCCTGACTCTTCCAGTGACTGATGACAGCTGAAAATAACTGTTGTGGGGAGAAAACTCCCTGCATCTTAACAGGAATCAAAGCCTAGGCTTTAGAAGAAGCACCTTCCAGTTCTCTTTGCGTCCCAGAAGGAACACCCAGTTGTCGATGGCACAAGAGAAAGGGCACAAACCTGAGAAGTCAAAGGTCAGCCTTTTCTTTATCAAGATCCCATGTGTGTCGCGGGGCAGCCTCTGGGCCTCAGTGTCCTTTAAAGGAGGAAGCTGGATGAGGCCCAAGGTCTGAGCATCTCAGATTCTAGAACAACTCTGAGGTCAAGAGCATAAGGCTCTAACAGGCAGATGGGAGTTGAAAGGACCTCCTGGTATAAGCGGAGAGGTCTTTTCAAAGTACTGAGTGGGACTGTCCCTGAAATTGCCCTCGAAGGTATAGCCCTGTGCATGGCAGAGAAAAAAATAAAAAAGATAAAACCACTACTAAGGATTAAATATCTCAGCTTTCCTTTCTCTTGAAACAAAAATGGATTTTTGGAAGTAACTGATTGAATTTCAAAGATATGGGTAACCAGTCATGGTCATCTGCTCCCCAGTTTAGGCTGCCAGGGTAACTTGAGCTATTTCCTTTCAAGCCACTGAGATAGTGTGTGGGGTGTGGGGAGTCCAGGCAGCCAGTCTGAGCAGAGCACAGGCTCGGAAGAGAAAAGCTCTTCTGCTGAGGCATCACTGAGATATCACGCCTGGTGACTTTCACTGATAATCCTGATAACAGTCAAATCCATTTTCTGTGCACCATACCAAATGCTTTCACTTGTATTGTCTCATTTCAACCTTTGCAACAGCTCTGAGATGTGGATTAATAATACTAACCCCATTTTGCACCCCCCCCCCAAAAAAAGTTGTTTAAGTGAGTTGCTTTCAGATCTGAGAGCCCACAAGAGGCAAAGGTGGGGCTCCATGTTAGCGCTATCTGGTCTTAAATTCTGTGCTCAGTCTACGCTGACTAATTTTGGCAAATGGCAATGAACTGGTGCCTAAAATATGAGCTAACGGAAAAGAAAAACCCATTCAGGTGAGGTACAGGTAGAACTTTGCTCCAACTAACTTCAACACTTCGTAAGAAAGGCGACAAGCTTGGCTGAAAGATGGAAGGTTTCATTGACTAGTGTTGGTATCAATAACTTTGGAGTTCCTAGAACCACTGGGCTTCAAAATCTTGAAAAATCAAGTAGCTTATTTTTATAGCTGTCCGTCAAGAGAGGGAGACTTGGGGCATGAGATCCAATTTTAAAAGCCTAAGATCGAGGGGAGCAGTTTTGTTTCTGGCAACCAGCTCACAAAAAATTATCCAAAACGGGCCGGCCGAGTGGCGCAATGGTTAAAAACTCGCTTGGGATGCCAGAGGGCCCCGGTTCGGATCCCACATATGAGGGCCAGTGACACTGCCCTCCACAGCTAAGATGCTGAACAACAGCTCA